AAGCACTAAAATATTTTAGATTTTCTTCAAATGAATGCTGTATTTACTTCTTACCATAAAATGTCTTTTTGAACTTGCTCATGTCAGTATTTTTATTATTGCAATGATACACAAGAAAGTTTAATTTTCAGTGGGTCTGTCAGTGGTTTTAAAAAATGCATTTTTGTGGTACTGTAAATGCTTGCATTGTGTTCTGTAAACAAGGTGAATGTGGCACATGATCATTTCTTCACACCAAGGTGGAAAATGTCCATGGAATGTGCAAAGGTGCTTAGCTAGAATAAACTGTCCACCAATCCTGTTTCCAAGAAATGTTCCTGCTTTATTGTTTGTTTTTTTGCCCTAGTTACAGCTGCCCTCAAAAATCCAGTCTGTGGGATTATTTAACCTTTATCATTATAGATAAAGCTTTGAAGAGCCGTCTTGTCTTAAGAACTTTTATTACTCATAAATGTTTGAATCCTCAGTGTGGGCTGAAGCCAATAGAAACTGGCTGGTGTGACCAGCACGGCTGGACCTCGTGTTTCAAGAACAGCCATAAATAGCTCGCCTTTGCCTGATGTCAGGGGTTGGAGAACGACTGGAATCCAGCAGCTCACTTGGTGGGATCTTGTGAGGCAGATGTTTTTCCATGATATTTATCAAAGCTGTGCCAAATGTTCCATCAGAATATCACTTAACCAGACAACTGTATACAAGCCTGTCTTCAAAACCTATAGAGATTTTAAAATTATTTTTGTTGCAAGATGTAAAGGCTGTGATATATTATATGAAGATCTGAGAGCCATTTGAGGTTCTGATCCACCTAGCATAGCAAAGACTTGTGACGAATGTGTCCTTTAGCTGAATTTCCTTTGAACTAAAGCAGCAGGAAATGAAAGCGTAAGGTGTGTCTCAAAGAAAATGAAATGGGTAATCGATACAACACGCTTTCAGCAGGAGATAAGGGTGTCACTCTGATCACCATTTTCTCCAGGACTTCTGAAGCCATATGATATCTTCATCAGTGAACTCGAGAATTGGTCCGATTTGTGAGCAAATCATTCAGTTTTTGTGAACTGAATCAACTGTTTCATTGTCAAACAGACTCGAAAGTCTTATGAATAGCTTTAAGGAGGGCTAGATTTACAGTGAATAATGACTTAAATTAAGCTGTTGATATACTTCGGAAGACTTGAAATGCTGCTCATGGGTCATATGGACAGCTTTTATGACATTTTTATGGTGTTTTTGTCATTGTGGAACTTGACAGCCCATATCCTGATTCAATTTCATAGAGTGCTGCAGGGATCATGATAGTTGGAAGGCCAAAACCTGGAAACAAGTCTGCATTTTAACACTTAGGGTTCAGTTGTTCCAAAGTCAGTGGGGTTTTGTTTAGATGCCTAAAATGATGTCTGTATTTAACACAAACTCAAGATATTTTCATGTTTTATTCTACGACAAAATAGTCTGTGACATCAGTGGTTCAATCGTAATTTTATGAAGCTACAAGAATACTTTTTGTGCGCAAAGAAAACAAAAAAAAATACTTTACCCAACAGTTTCTTCTCTTCTGTGTCAGTCGACATACATTCGGGAGAGTACCACAACGCAAAGTCATAATTTTGGGTTTTTTTGCGCACAAAAAGTAGTCCCGTAGCTTTATAAAATTACGGTTGAACCACTGATATGAACTATTTTAATGATGTCCTTACTACTTTTCTGGGCCTTGAACGTGTCAGTTGTGTTGCTGTCTATGCAGGGTCAGAAAGCTCTCGGATTTCAGCCAAAATATCTTAATTTGTGTTCTGAAGATGAACGAAGGTCTTACGGATTTGGGACGACATGAGGGTGAGTAATTAATGACAGAATTTTCATTTTTGGGTGAACTATCATGTCATATCATCAAATATGTCATGCTTCAGCATTCTATTGAAAAGGATGCAGGAAATTCACCTTGTGTTCCAAGGAAGAAATAAAGTCATGCAGGTCTGGAACAGCATTCATTTTGGGTGAACCATTCCTTTAAATGTCAAAACTCCTTGTCATTTTTAAAGCGGGAACACTGCCATCTACAGGACAACACGAGAAGTTCTTGTGCATCAGTTGCCAAGTGAACAGCATTTTGGTCATTATAAAAAAAGCTGATTACCAATTTTTCCCCTTTGTCCCCAGTCAATCCCACAATAGAATTCATGTTACTTTGAGGGTCACAAACCGCAATCAAATGTCGCTTATCTGTTGCACTTGTCTTTCTCTACGGGAACAGTTACAATGCTATCATTTTGCACATCTCATTAACACACCCAGAATCACGGAACAGCTTGAAGTCCATCTGCTTTTTGTCAGAGAGCTGTGGAGAGCTTGACCAGAAGAACCCTGCGTCGCACTTGTAGCAGGTGGCTTTGAGTAATTGACCATGCTTTGACCCAGCAGATTGAAATCCGGTCCATTTGGCAGACTCTAAATTGTGTGGTTTAAACCTGGATCTTTATATTATTCTCAAGGTCTTTTGAACTCGTCTTGATATGGTCTTAAAGGTGAATGATGTTTCATTCCTTCTCATGCTTCTAGTGTGTAACAGTATGTCAGCATGTCTCACCACACATTATATAAGGACAAAGAAGAGACCTGCAGGAGCAATTCGCTACAATAACAAATGATCAATATGGAAATGGAGGCTTAAATTAAAAAGTAAGTGAATGTCAAGGTGATTTGAAATTGCTCTGTTATTTTTAGCCAATGATGTGAAACAGTTTTAAATGGAGTGTGTTTATGATTTTATATTAGTCTACCAAAAATGGCACAATGGGGGTGTGCTGTCTTGATTAAAAATACCAAATACTGAAAGGGGCTATGTATAAACATTTGAAATATAATTCGAAGCTTTTCTTGTTGGATGAATATTGTGAGCTTATATAGTTGCACAGTTATGAGCTCTACAGCACCATGGAAATGCTGTTTATCTTCAGAGACAAATGATCCTGTGTTCTTTCACAATCCCTAATAACTTGAAAATATGCCATTTATTGTATATTTTTAGTCGGAAACAGAAAAGGCGAAGATCTAAATCAATGGCTCTCAACCAGGTGCTCTTCATGAACTTCCAACAAGGGCCACAAGGTGACTTAATTATAGAATTATTTAAATATTCAAATAATTGAATGTAATTAAAATAGCTAAACATCAAAGTGTACTTATGTATTACTTAAAAGTTTTTGAAACTTCTGGTTACGGCATATTAATCAAAGTGAATTACTTTAATGGAGTGTCTATTTACACTCATTTTAATTTATTGACATTTTTAGTTTCTATTATAAACATTTGTTATAGAAAACCAACTTTAGGAATTTAAAATTTACCAGTGCTTTGAAAATATCCTGCTGAATAAAAAATTACTGAGGTATATGAGTTATAGCATACGATAAAAAACTAACAGTCTATTATTTAAACAAAGGCATCCATGATAAATCATAAGCAATTGTTATAAAAAAATAGTTTTTATTTTGTCAGAGTATAAATCTGTTTTTGTTTGACTCATCAAAGAACAGTAATCACTAGCAGGGTTGTCATTTATTCTGAAAATTGCTAAGCACAGGGAACAAGGGGAATATGGTTTGTGATGTGAACCATCAGAGAGCATTTTTAAACACATCCGTCATGCTATCACTTAATTACGAGGATGTCAGCTGCAGAGTTGACTTTGTGTCTGAGCAGCTGGGGACGTATTTAGTTTGCTTCTCATAAAAGCCTTTATAGCCATCATTTTCAAACAGGAACTGGCCATTTACTGTAAGTCATGGTGACAGTTTGTAGAGCCACATGCATTCACAATTCACATCAAGCTATACTTATTTCAGCCAAGGTAAGATTCATTGTCTGTTTGATGAGGTGCTTTTGAGATGACTTCAGTTTGCTGAAAGCACAGACTCTCTTTTGTCTGTTTTTCTGTTGTCTGAAATTCACCTAGACATTCTGACGTCTTCACCTAGACATCTGATTCACATTTGTGTTGGTGAATGGTACAATGGAAGGTGAA